TGTGGACATCCTTAGGTTTGGTTTTAGAAGGAAAAAAAAAAAAAGGATAGGTTCGGTGTTAGGGTAGTGAGGGGGTACATGTTTTTTTTTTCGGCCCTCTCTTGTTTTGTGTACAGGGGGTAAGCTGGAAAAAATGGAAATTTTAAAAATTTAAAGTTATGATATGATAACAATTCAAATGTGAAAAAAAAGCGGAAAATAATCTCCAATTAGTTTTATTTGTTTTTTTTTTTAAATGTGAATTTAGTCAATTGCTCGTTGAGAAGCGAGTAAAAGAAAGGACCAGTGTTCGACTCCTGGGCGCAGGTCGCACATCCAAGGAGGATTGGATTAAGCGGCTGAATCGGACCGGGTTTTAAACGGAGATGCAGAAAAGCAGAACAAAAGTCGCGAGATTCTGCACCTGTCCGCAATTACGTCCAGATGCAGGCGTTAAATCAGATCCTCTTTTGCTAGTGCGACCTGCCCCCTGGTTTGAATCAGACAAGTAAAAAAAAAAAAAAAAACTCTGAAAAAAATTCGTTTCCGATTTTTTTTTTATTACGTCAAGGTTGTCTGTCGCCCTTTAAAATAATAAAAAACGGAGAAAAAAAATAAATCAAAAGAAACCATGAAAAAAAGGAGTTGTGAATAAGATAATAAAATTTCTCTCGCAGAAATTAAAAAAAAGGAAATAAACCAAGTGGCCCTGCTCAGTTGGTACAAACCTCCACCTCAGCTGTTCAATCTAGAGACCCGTGTACCCCAACTCCACTAGAAGAGGACGAGTGAAATACTAGAATTCTGAGACGAGTGAAATACTAGAATTCTGAGACGAGTGAAATACTAGAATTCTGAATTATCTAGGGCCGGTCAGTTCGATGATAACATCTCAAGGCAGCCGCCCTTTCTTTTTTTAAAAAAGGAAAAAAAAAGGGAAAAGAAATTAAATTAAAAAAAAAAGAAAAAAGGAGACGAAAAAGAAAAGGAAACAAAGGGAAAAAAAAAAGAACAAAAGAGAAAAAAGAGTTTTATTATGGAAAACAAACGTTAGTACCAGTAAGCAGGGACTCGAGTCAATGGGACTTCTTCTACGAACTTTCTCTCTCTGGACTTGATTGCCGTCAGGTACATCAACGATTGTCCGTAATTGCCGTCAGATACATCCAGGATCGTCCTACTGTGAGTATGCTCTCATCCTATGGTCCAGGAAGAGACTGCGAGTATACCAGTCAATAACTTACACCCGTACCAAAAAAAA